TCTGAACATGAGGAAGAACTTCTTCACTCTGAGGGTGACAGAGCCCTGGAACAGGCTGCCCAAGGAGGTTGTGGAGTCTTGTTCTCTGGAGATATTCAAGACCCTCCTGGACAAGGTCCTGTGCAGCCTGCTGTAGGTGACCCTGCTTCGGCAGGGGTCTTGGACTAGATGACCCACAGAGGTCCCTTCCAACCCCGAACATTCTGTGATTCTGTGATTGCTCACTGGAGTCGTCTGGCCACATTACTGCAGCGAAACAGTTTTGAGAACCCCAGGTGAGCGCTTCGCTGACTGTGGGCAGCACGCGTGTGCGCTCACAGGCGTCCCTCTGTTCACCTGGGAAGTGGAAGGTGACCGCTTGTGCCCTCAGCCTGAAAAACCTGGAGACCCATCTGCAGCCATGTAACGTTACCGGGCTTTTTATGGGCCGTGCTTTAATTACCCCTTCTGCTTCTGCAAAAAGATAACTTGAAATGGAGAGTCATTAAGTAAAGAAGGGAAATCCTGCAGGTTTCTAAAATCTGACTGCACAACTCACAGCAACAGCAAGACTTAAGGTAAAAAACTTAAGAACAGTGAAGGAAACTCCAATTTAATCATAACGCTGAGTTCATACCCCTGCCGTCTTGTAAGGGTGGTGAGGGTTGCATCGTTTATTTGTTCTCGCAGGATCTGGATGCTGCATTGCCACTTATAGAGCTCTACAAAGATAAATTGGTGGGGATCGGAGAGGTAAGTAGAATTCCACAACTTGTGTAAATGTCTATGGCTTCGGCAGCATCTGTCACCACGACTACAAATACTTAGTGAATACTTGGTTTTGTGTATGTGAGAAGTATTGCTATCAGTCTGAACAAGCACTAAGTCTGATTTGTAATTCTCTTAATATGCTTTCCTTCATAGATTTGCCTGATTCCCTCTTTTCCTTTATTATTGTTATTAGGAAAGAGATGGATTTTATACTGGTGGGTTTAGTAGGAAGAATTGTGTAACTATACTACATACTATATCATCTTACGCCCGAATGTCTTTTGACCTGTTCTCTAGCACAGTGAAGTGTCGAGTCACATTGTTATCCTCATTCAGATCCCTCCTGCCTCCTTCCCTGACAAAGTTAGGCTAAGCTGTGATTCCAGTACACTTCACCAACTTGAACCGTCCTTTTTTCTTGTGACCTCTCATCTGTCTGTGTCCATGTGTTGTCTCCTGTTTTACATTTGTTTATAAACTAATCAAGGCTTGAAAGCTTTAGGGTAGAGTCTGCCTCTTGTGTGTGTTGGTACCGGAGGGACTTGTGGGTTGGTTCTGCACTGGCTGCAGAAAAAGCCGTTATTGGCAGAGCTTTGTAGCTAAACTTGCCACGTTGTACTTGTGCTGTACATCAAGGACTTTGATTGATGTAACTGTGAATGGGGCTGCTTTGACAAACTTTTAAGTTTTGCCTGAACATGTTTAAATCAAAAAAGTGTGTAATTATGGGTAATTTTTGCTAGAGAGAGGACTAAAGCTACATGTTCAGCTCAGAAATTTTGCTGGTGTTGGAGATCCAGATTTTAGGTTTAATCTGAAATAATATTCAATAGAATATAAAACCCCATAATACCAGTTACAGATTAAAATGTTAAATACCCTTGTTAGTAACGATCTTCCCACAAATACTTTCATAGCTGAAAAGCTTATGGTTGAGAATGGATTCCTTTCTGAGTTAAGCTACAGCTGAGCTCATTTTACTTGCAGTCTCCAGTATATATATTTCGAAACACCTTGCAGTTGTGAAGCATTTTTTGCTTTTACATACAGTATTGCAGTTCAGTTAAGCATTAGGTCTGTAAATTTTTTTCGCTTCTTTTCTTGTACTGTAGGTTGGACTAGATTTCACTCCCAGATTTGCCAGCACGGATGAGCAGAAGGAAGGACAAAGACAGGTTTTGATCAAGCAGATCGAGTTAGCAAGAAGACTGGATTTGCCTTTGTAGGTTTTGTTTATACTAGGAGGAGAATTTGCCAGATCTCAGTAATGTGGAAATATTTCCCAGGATTTATAATTACTAAGAGCCCACAGAACTTTTCTTACATGGATTAAACTGGCATTAGTTATCCTGTCAGTCTCCGGTTTGACATTTAATTATGGAATTTTCCCTATGTTTGCACTTGAATACAGTGGTCTTCTGTGTCCTGTCCTTGCTGTGTTGTTGCTGTATCTTCACCGTAGCTAAAATGATTCATATATACGTCTCTAGATTTTTCCTGATGAAAGTTGTAATAGAGATTAATTATTTTCTTCTGAAGTTGCTGTTAGTTCATTTGTGTTTACAAAAAAAAATATTATTTTGCTGAATTTCCTAATGCCGAGCCTCTCCTTGCTGTGCAGAAATGTTCATTCCCGCTCAGCTGGAAGACCAACCATTAATCTCTTAAAGGAACAAGGTACGTTTCTAATGCATTTTCTCCATCATGGCTTTTGTTAACGGAATTTCTTCAGTTATGCCATGTTCTCACATCAGTTTGTGTATGTAAAACTTGGGAGGAATAGTGCAGAGCTTCTGTATTCATTCTTTATGGGACCGAGGTGCCATTGGAAGCTGACGTCACAGACCGACTGCTAATGATCTGGTTTGCTTCTTTTCCCTGAGGTGCTACGAAGGTGTTGCTCCATGCGTTTGATGGGAAGCCGTCTGTAGCCATGGAAGGGGTGAAAGCTGGATACTTCTTTTCCATTCCTCCTTCCATTATAAGGAGTGAACAGGTAACGGTTAAAGGGGTTTGCTCATGCTTGGGGATTGCAGGTAATAGCTGACAGCTTATCATGATGGCAAATGTGCCTGTTTTTACTGTGCAGCTGAAGAATACGCTTGGTCTGTACAGTCTGTACAGTTTGAAGTGGGACTCACAGTACTCGCATATGATTGCTGTCACCTGACACTTCTCAACAGAAGTTTCAGTTGCTTATAGCATTGCACATTTTTACTTTGGCTAAATTTCTGCCCGGGGCTTTTGCCTTAGCTAGACTTTTGGGGGAAAATTTCGACTAAAACAGTTCAGCTATTCCTGAGAAACAAGGGTTAAGAAAATAGGTGCTTTTTTTTTTCGCATGTGATTTCTGGTGAACTCTTCTTTGGAAGCCTCTGTCACTGTTTCAGAGTAGGGACATGGCACGCGGAAAAGGACGAGTTCCTACCTCAGTGCTGTGACACTTTTCTGTTCAAAAGGAAATCTACTCACAACTGACTAAATTACAGACCATTTTGAAAAATTGTGATTATCACAAGGTGCGCCCAGCAAAGAAGCAGCTAAATTGCTTAAAGGTTCAGCCCTTGATTTGGTGCGACTGCTCTCTTAATTTCTACTCTGCCGCAAGCTATGCTCACTGCTTATTTTGGGGCAGCAGTCTGTTTCCTTCCTGCATCATCGTCACTTTCTTTGATAAACTCCAGAAGTGTAAGAAAGGAAAAGGCATGATTCAAGTGGAGGGGGTGTGAGGGGTGGGTATAGATGGGATGACGTTAGGAACTTGCAGAAAGGAATGCAAAGTGGGGTTGAGGGTTAAAAGCAGAGATGGGGAAAAGGTGCTCAAATAGCATACATACCGAAAAACAGCAAATTAATATTGCATTGGCAACTCTAAATATAGGGTATTTTGTGCAATATAACAACGTGATTTAGGAAGTAACAACAAATTCAGTGTTTAGATAATAGTACTTCAGACATTTAGAAAACAAGACAATCCTTATTTGAAGGGACTTTTTGAGCAGCCAACTCAACCAAGTCTTTTGACATTTAAATGCAGAGGATATCCTCCGTGCATACACTTTTTTGTACAAGTCTGAGTGCATAAAGCATTTAATAGCTGTCTTATTTTCTTCAAGAAGCAGAAGCTTGTGAAACTGTTACCTCTGGAAAGTATGTGCTTGGAAACTGACTCTCCTGCTCTGGGGCCTGAAAAACAGGTAAATGGGGGGGAGCAGACTTCTGTGTGTGTATATCTGCACCCATGCCATATGGAGGTCAGTTACTGGTGTGGGAGAGGGAAGCAGTGTAAGCATGGACAAGGGACGAAAGACGTTGCCGAGTGAAAATGTGGAGATTAAAAAGTCTCTGTTCCTGAGGCTGGGAAAGGAGAAAAAATTCTAGGAATGGGCAAAGGGAAAAATAATCCAAGAATAATAGATACGTGTAATTTCTCTGTCTCAGATGCCACAATGTGACTGAAGTTGTGTTGGGAAGGACTGAGGCTGAATCACCTGTCATCTGTAGGGATCTCCAATTTGGTCTGGTTTTTGTTTTCTTTTTTTTTCAGGTGAGAAATGAACCAAAAAATATTCACATTGCTGCAGAATATATTGCCAAAATTAAAGGAATTCCAGTTGAAGAAGTTATAGAAGTGACTACACAGAATGCACTGAAAGTATTTCCCAAACTTCGGAACTTTCTTCGGATATAGATTCAGAAACTGAAATATGTGATATTGCGGAAACTATTATTTATGGTGTAGTTAATAAAAACAATGTGCATCTTGTCTTGAAATGGAGTTTTGCTGTTGGAAAGTTCAAGAAGTGAGCAGAACGTTACATAGATGCATAGGATGAATATAGGGAGTTTCTCAAAGACCTTTGATGTGCACCATCGTCATCTCCTGGATGCGATAAAGACAGGTTGTTCATTTGCATCTCTCATGTCTCTGAATGTTAATGTTTGCAAAGAATGACTGCTTTGTAAAGAAGAGCACCATAGAATTGTCAGGTTTGTTTCTCAGACAGCTTGCTCAGCTGCTCCTAGTCTGGGAGATGGCTGCTGTGCAGTGCTTAATGTCCCCCTCATTCCTTAGTTTCTGCTAAAAGTCATGCAGTTGTGGGCCCACTCGTGATACAAAAGCTTCTTTTAGGACTTGTTGAAGACAAGCCCAATTTTTTGAGGTCTTGGAGGTACCTGGCTGATGTAGGTTCTGCTATGTTGGCTGGTGTCCTAAAAACTGAATCCTGTGGTCCCTCGCAGCACCTGTGTGGATGTGGGCCATTGAAATACTGATCAAAATTTTGCTGACTAAACCAGCAATGAATGAGGTGAGTTATGTATGACACTGTTGTTCTGAGGGCCACTAGGGAAGCGGACAGGAGGCTTTGTCTCCCTATGGAGAGTTTTACGGTCTCAGAGAAGAAAATACACAAGTATTGACTTAGTCTGTGACCACCTCAGGTACAGAATCATGCATCACACCAGCCGATGGTGAGAGCGTTTGGCTTTAAGATTTGGGCACGTTTTCTACGGTCCGGGTGCCTATGTGATGTCTCAGATTGGACTCCTTTCTGTCTCCCTGGTTAGAGCATCTTACTGGTTGCCCCTTTGCAAAATGGTTTGTAATGCCCTGTTCTGAAATTACCTGATGTCTGCCTGCTGGGGTGTAGGGCTGCAAGGCAAGGGTTTAGGTTGTTTTCCTGTCTTGAGGAGGATGCAAGTAGAGAAGGTATTAACTCCCACATAGGAAAAGAAAAATAAAAGGGAGGAAAAGCTTGTAGTGGAAGTGATACCCATCTTACATTTTTCCTTTCCATTTCCTTACATTTTTCATTTACATTTCCTTCCTCAGTTGTTCCTTTACATTTTCTTCTTCAATTTCTTAAAATCACATTGTCAGGAGGGATTTTTGGGTCTTTAGCAGAACAGCTGTGGTGTTCTGCTTTTTGACTAGAGTTATTTTACTAAGTTTAGACATATGTTCCTCAGCAGTTTTCGGACTGCAGCAAACAACCAAACTTGACTAATGTGTTTCTATCACGAAGGGTATTCAGAGCAGCAAACACCTGAATCTTTGCTGAATGTTTGACCCAGAGTAGTCAGAGCCATTTGTTATCCTGGATTTAGAGGCACCGTTTCGCCTAAACTGGGTGAAGGACAGAGTTTGCCTGCAGATGGTGCTGGGGAACAGGTGTGCAACAGTCTTAAGACTGTTAATGTAATTGACATTAATGATTAATAATCACAATAATAATCATCAGAGATGCTGAAGGGGTGATAGCAGGCAGCCTTACACATGCTTCCTGCTGCCTGTGTGACAGGAAGGCTCCCGGTATTGCATGGGAAGGCAGTTATGTACGGAGATGCTCCTGTAAAAAGCCAGGTGATGCCCAAATATTTGCAGAGTTTTGGCCTTGTTATTATTATGCTCTGTGAAATTCTTAGCCTTGGATGAAAGCACTAGTTTTGCAAAAAGAGGAGCATCAATTGAGCCAGCAGTGTGCCCTGGCTGCCAAGAAAGCCAATGGGATCCTGGGATGCATTAGGAGGAGTGTGGCCAGCAGGTCGAGGGAGGTTCTCCTTCCCCTCTACGCTGCCCTAGTGAGGCCCCATCTGGAGTACTGTGTCCAGTTCTGGGCTCCCCACTTCAAGAAAGATGAGGAGTTACTG